TAAAGTGCTTAGGGCAAGTTGCATGGGAGCGATGGAGTCAAATTCTCCTTGAGCGGTCTCCAAGCATCGGACGCGCGAGGTTCTACACCTTATTCCGAAAAATATTACTTTTTTTTTTATGCGTTAGTGTTAGTCCCCTCATGCATGCGCTAACCTTGGATTGATTTGGACTAACCAAAGGTCGCAAAATCGCCCTGAGATGGCGCCACTGTCGCGTTGGCTGTGGAAACTGGCTACGATCCACCTTCTACAAGCGCCGACAAACGGTGGGCGTGGTGAGGAAGGGCTATAGGGTGCGCGCTTTGGACGCCCTCAGAAGTTTCTGCTTCCGGATTTAAAGACCTGCGGACGCACACGGGGCACACGGGCTGCGGTTCCGTTCTTCGACCTGCCACGCCTGCCACGCCGTTCTTGACGGGCATGTACCCTTAGCATGTCACCAGGCCGTAAGCGAACGGTGTCGTCGGCCTTCTATACACAACACGCGCGGCAAAGTAAGGCCCAAGAGGACCGACGACGCCGTTTCCATGAAACCGTCGACGTTCGGAACTGGAGGTTGGCCCACCTAAGACAACAGCATGCGAACCGTACGCGCCGATCGGGGGAAGGTGTGCTGACTCCAACCGAGGCTGTCAACGTTCGGGAGCGGACACTGACTGGTACATAACATTCAAACGGCGGCCTGTGTGGCTCACTTCACGTTGCATGGGCGCTCATGTGCATGATCAATCCACCGCAAGATTAAACGAACGTTCCAGGTGAATAAATATATACGCACAACAAAATGGTTCTGTCACTCTACGTGCATCGCGCGCACGTCCTTCATGCACACCTAAAATAAAATGGCCTGCTCGCATCAGGGAGAAGAGGGGTTTCGGGAATGTTCACCCCGCGGAAAAGTGCTGAGAGGCTGCATCCACCATGCTTTGTTATATCATAGCCTCCTCTATACTAACAAAGCCTGGCAGATCGCCACGAGATGCGGCTGCCGAAAGTGAAACGGTAGAGCGGCAGACAACTGATGAGAGGAGAAGCATGTAACAGGCTCCCCGCTGTGGCGGGACGCCGAAACACACCTGTCCCGACGATAGAATATCCGCTCGTGCTCCTTGAGTTCCTGGCGCTACGGCTTCTTTTCTAGTCGGGTTTGAAAACCATGTTTCTGGTACTCGTCGCTGCAGAGGCTGTGCGCTGACTACAAGCTCCCGAGAAATGTAGTGTGCTACCAGATCCTCGCAATCCAAATCTGCAATCGGTCACTCTATGGCTCCGTCGTCGAACTGCCAGGCTTTGTCAGTATAGAGGAGGCTATGGTTATATATATAACCGCTGCGCGAAATGCTAACACATTTCTTCGAGAATCAGCATAGCGGCAGAAGTGAGTTTGGCCCATTTTTCTTTATAATATCATCGAATAGCACATTTGACTTGCAGACAGTTTCGATTAAACACGTGTATTACAGCAGAGCTGTTAAGGGCAAGTTTCCCCAGTATCGTGTCCGTGACGCGAACAAATGGCGACACAAAACTCCAGACAGCTACCGCCATCTATGAGCGACGGCGGCAACCTCTCCAGCCTTTCCACTCTGGTTTTCACCATAGTGGAAATGCTGAATTTCTCTAGGCGTTGTCCTAGAATTCGTCCTCGAGGACGACGCGTAGAGGTCGACGTCCTCTAGGTGTCGTCCTCGAGGTCGTTTTAGAAGTCGTCCTAGACGTCGTCCTCGAGGTCGTCCAGAGGTTTCCCTCGAGGTCGTCCTAGAAGTCATTCTTGAGTCGTCCTAAACGTCGTCTTTGAGGTTGTCCTAAACATCGTCCTCTAGGCATCGTTTTAGACGTCGTAAAGATGACAACTTCGTTGGTACTCCATCTTCACGTGAAGCGGGAAAGCTCTACAATTTTTTTTCTTTTAATTTTCAAAATTTCAAGATGAATCAGAACAAAAACGTAAAGAAAAAGTTAATTACTACTTTCCTAAACTATGCATCATTTTGCTGCTAATTTTTTTCTTATATCATTTGTGCATTTTACATTTCTATTATAGAACGTGCACACAAGGGCCGTATTGAAACAATCAGAACGATGAAAAATCGTCATCCCATTTTTCTCTCACATTAAGGCCGGTCACATTAAGAACGCTACAGAAACAGCGCCAATGCGAGACTATTCTGAACATATCATTAGTATTATACTGCAAGCTGTACCAGTGCTGCATGCTGATATAGGGGGAATCGGTGGCCGAGTGGGCTAGCGCACACCAGATCGGAGCACGTGGAGCAAATGTTGGCATTGCCGAACCAAGCTTCCTGAGTTCAATCCCCACCACTGCCTGTTGCGATCTGCATGGGCATCGTACCGGCGTGCGGTCGTGTACTACTACTGCAATATACACGTTAAAGACGCCAAGCTAGCGGCTGTAGTGAACTGGCCAAATTGCTCATCTACAGCTAAGACACCGGACGCAGATTGGGGTACACTAACTACCGGCTGTATAAACAAGCACACAACACAAACAACACAATTAATTCAGAGCAATGTACCGACCTCAAAATAAAGCTAGACATTTTATATTTCTTCTGCGTTAGACGTGGTGATACCTTAACGTACGTTTAATAAACCTGCCGTATACGCATACCGCAGAACAACAACAAAAAGTAATTCAAAGTACAAAACTGTTCCACATAAAAAAAAAAAATAAAAAAAACGGAAACGTGAATTTAAAGGTTATTTCGACGGTATATATTCTGTGTCGGAAATGGCAGATCGTTTCTATACCTCGCGTTAAATTTATTTTATGGGCTCGATGGCTATATTATGGGGTGACGAAGTAGCTCTCCTTAGACTGAATGCGAAACACGCGAATGTAAAATGGCCGAGGCAGAACGTGAGGTGGCGCTTTCTCTCAAAATGAGTCTGCTTGGAGAAAACATATTTGAACACATACACACACGCTGCCAAAGTCCCGAAAACTCATAGACGCGACGGCGCAGACCTTCGCCGATCCCCAAGAGAGAAATATCGCATCGCGGGCCGACGCCAAGCAAAAAAGGAAAAAAGAACGCATTGCCGGCAAAGCCCTCCGGGTGCGGAGAGATATACATAACGTCCGCGGGTTCTGATCCCGGGTCAACTTGTCCGTGCCGGCGGGGCTAAAGCCGCTGGCCGCGGTCGGGAGACGACCTTTTAGCGGACGATACGCCGGCATGGCCCGTCGAACGAAACCTACGACGAGCTTGCCTCGACTCTACAAGTACGTGGTTTCATTTTTCTTTTCTCCCTGTGTTGACTGGTTGTTGCTTTTATAGACGCGCACTTTTTCTTGCTTACCGACGCGTCTTCGGCCCTCATAAAATTATTAAATTTCACGTACTGTCTCGCGGAGCCTAAATAGGAATCAACGAGAGCTTTCTCCGGCACTCATGACGACGGAGAAACAAAAAAAAAAAAAAAAGAAAAATAAAGAAGCAATTTACATTATGTATACGCCAACTCATCTCTGTGACGTCACGGCGCGGTGGTGGCGCGTCGGTCGCACTTCCGGTCTGGGGCTGTGGGCAGAAGTCCCCATGCCAGACGTGTATTCCTGCGTTGTTTTGAAGGGAACCAGACAAAAACCTGCCTTCTCGTCAAAACGCCGGGACTAGGGTCGTACCAAAAGCGTCGAGAAAGGTTTGAAGGTCAGTTTTTACGTGCTCGGTTCGTCCGAAAATCTGGAGATGTGCCGTGAAAAGGAAGAAGCAGACGCCGTCGGACAACGATTGCTTGGGCGGGAAGCACTTTGTGTTGAATTTAAGGATACTTGTGGTCATCAGATTTATTTGTTTTGTTCCAACATGAACGCCAGAAAACCATCAAGTTTTGCGGACCACCTGCAGACTACGTTCAGTGCGTCTTCAAGTTCAAACGGCCGCCTGATCGTTTGAACTGTCGTCTGCTCTTTCAAACCTTTCTGCTTTTCGTCTGCTCTCTTAGACGACGCCGGCCCGTAGATTAAATGTCCCGGTAATTGCTATAAGAAGTAAGTGCAGGCCTCAAAAGACTTAAGTTTGAAAGTTGGTAAGCAGGCTGGATGTATACAGTAAATACAAGGAGATGTTGATCATTGTTACCAGTGACCATCACTGACTTGCTGTGCCTAATTGAGTTGGTTCGATTCTGCTTGCGATTTTCAGTATCGACGTCGACCATCTCAGCTACGGGTCACGCTTTTGCAGCCCGAGCGGTGTCGCGACTGAAAATTGCGAGCGAAATCTCATTATGTGAATGAGCTTTTAGCGTGCATACTGCGGCGTCCACGCGGAATGAATCGCAACATGTCACATTGTTCACGCGAAATTTCGCGGTGTAGCGAGCCTCGGTAATTTCGCTGACGCCGCTCAAGTAGTCAGACATCGCCAGGAAGACGTAGAATCAACAATTCGAACGCGAAAAAGAGCAGGGGGACTCACACCGACGCCGACAACATCGCATTTCAATGGTTTGTTTATGGGCGACGGCGAGCTTCTTGCCCACATCCCCATCGCGCATGCGCGGCGCCGGTGGCGTCCGCTAGGGGCGCTTCGGTTTGTTTGTAAACATGAGTCAGTATATATGCAGCCACGATCAGTTTGAGCAGTAAGGTTGCACTCCTACCGTTTTAACTGACTCGGAAAAGATTTGGTTTGTGACATTTTATGTAACACCAAGACACGGTTTAATCGTATTTAAAATGTTCGACAGGCGCGGTTAATAGTGATAACTTCAACGCGACTACAAATGTGGCCCAGATTTCTTGCTCTCTTGTTCTAGCGCAGTAAAAGGATTCAGTGCTTAAAAATACTGCTTTCGCATATAACATGTTATGTTATGCGCGACAAGACAGGCTAACTTGTGTTTCTGTGAACAATGCGATACCTTCCGCTTCGGTTTCCGTGATGGCAACGAAACGTCACCACCGCTCACACGAGACCACGACGACTGCGGCGGCATAACTGACCCGTAAAGATCGAAAATCAACTCACCAAACACCTTGACCTCGCGTTCTCCGACCACGGTCTGGAAAGACGGCGCCTCGGCAGAGGCCTCGCACCTGTAGTTCCCTTCCGTGGAAAGGTTCACGGCAGCCACGAAGACGTTGCCTTCCCGCGACTTGACCATCTAAAACGAAAACCGTGAGCGTAGAAAAAGTGCCTTAGTGAAAACGTCTGTTCTCGTTCGTTGTATGTGTGTATTTCGTGCCGCGGAACCATTGTCGATGATGATCGGCCATTGGCACTCTTTCAGACGAAATTGTTTCGGCACTTGTGTACCTTTGGACCCTTCAATAAAAAAAAAATGTTTTGTGACTGTGACAAAAAAAAAAAGAATTGGTTAGTCTGTTGGTTAGTTGATTGATTGTTTGATTTATGTATCTATCGATTGATAAATCTATAAATTTATTTAATTATTGTTTAATTGATCGAAGAACGGCGCTGAAATTGGGTCCGAAACAAGGATTGCAAGGCCGTTAAAAAAAAAAAAAAAGCATTTCGTTTACAAATGCGTTAAATGTTGGCATAAATCTTTTAGGTGTCAGGAGACATTTTGGTTATTGTAAACGTCGTGGCTCCCATCACGGCCCTTCTTTCGGCTGCATTAGCCCCGAGAAGATGGGGGGAGGGGGGGGGGGGGGGGGCGGGGGACCTGACGGCTCCTCGTCGTGACGCAGTCACAAGGATCACTTGACCACTTCTATGCTTCGTTCGTTGCATGTAGGTTGAGTTGCATCATTCACAATCCACGTTTAATTCTCTATTTCGAACGAGAGTTTACGGTTGCTTTCAACCTACTCTTTTCGTTGTACCTCTTGTCAAAATCGAACTCCAGCTTCGCGACAACAGTGTCGTCGCGGCTTACGGAACAGGACCCAGGTGACCCAGCTTCGTGTTATCGTACTGACCGGTCGTGGGGTCCGAGGCTAAGTGAACAAACATGTACAGATTCCGCGACTGCATGGGTCCCAGACGAGTTTCATTTTTTTTTCTTTTTTTCTTTTTTAGCCTGACGGAAACAGACAGAACACAGAAAAATTAATCGCGAGAACGGTTGAGCAGTTGTTGAATTGGCATTCCGATCACAGTTTTTTTTTTGTTTTTTTTCCCCAGTTTGCTTGCGCCTTTTTAAGGGGGCCTTTTTGTCGTGAAAGCTAGTCTAGTTTTGAAATATTACGCATGCGAGGCATCAACTTTAGCCTTACCTTCTGCGTTAATTTTTCGGCAAAGGAAGTGCCGGGCCCGTATCGCCTAACAAACCTGGCTATAGCGAGACACGTTCTAGCTCAATCTATGTTGACGTTTGTACCGCCGTCACCTCGAAATAAATGGAACATACACGAAAAATTAATTCTACGTACCAGGTGATGCGAGGGTAATTCAATTTCATACCGTGTTTATTTCAGCTGTACGTCCCAGAAAGCAGCAAATAGAATCGACGAGTGTGTCACTGCGACGAGAGCGTACGCCACCACAGCACAACACTTCAAAAATGACAAGGGGACGACGAAAAGATAAGACTCACCTACAAGTCGGAAAATCTAGGGCAAGGTTCGAGCAATTGATACCAAAAGAGTTCACTTAGCAAAAAAATAAAAAGGGTGGCGGGAAAAGTTTTTTTATTTAACGAGGCAGCCGGTCGTGTGCAGCTAGTGACGAGGACCTTGCTAAGCCTTGTCTGTTGAGTACGGCTACGGCCTCTCAAGTCGGTGGGATCGTTTTCGTTACTTCCAGGATTTGTGGATCGAGCGGTCTCCACCGAGCATCGTAGTTTCAAGTGCGTATTTCTCTTCCTTTGCTGGTTGAAGTCTGGGAGCGCGCGAAGAACATGTAGAAGTATGCCCGTTGGTCTCTAAGGCGAAATATCCGAGCGGTGTTGGGGACTGTCATGAAGATATTGTATACGATTCCATCGTAACCTGGAAAAAAACTTCCGACTGTTTAGCTTGGCGACTTCTGATTTGTTCTTAGGTTTCGTCATACGGACGTTTTGCGTCATAGCAAAAACCAAATACACTTAGCGAACAGTTTCTGCTTCTACGTGTTAAGTCACGCAACCAAAGTAAAGCAAAGCAAAGGAAATACCTGACCCCGTCACGTGATCTTTGTTTCTACGCCACCATCGAGAAATCAAAGCGCTCTAGTCGCTCCTGCTTAGGACTAATTGTGAAAGAGAAGGTCTTGCACGTTAATGTGTTACCCAAAAACCAACCCCTAAATACATCCCATGCTTAGTGAATTGTATAAATGGAAGTCATTCGTCCTAGGATTGTGCTATGGAAGGTACTATAGGATTGTGCTATGGAAGGTACTATGGGATTGTGCTATGGAATTGTGCTATGGAAGGTACCCGTCCTAGAAGCTCAGTTGAGTGGAATGCTTTATTTACTTGAGAATTTGCTCAGAGGAGACATTTTCTAAAGTCACACACTTTCTTCAGTGCTTACCCCAATGTGGATCAGAACTCCTAAGATAAGGTTTAATTTGAGTTTGAGTTTATTCAAGGCAACCCTGTACAGAACTGTCTCAGGGGACGTGGCGAAAGGTACTTCGAGTGACTGACGGGGCCATGCCACACTCTTAGCAGCAGCCGATACAAAAATAAAATGCAAAGAAAGTTACCCAATAAAATATAAGTCTTTGCAAAAGAAAAGCAAAAACAGCAGGCATAACAGAAATCTGCTAATCAGATACACTCTTCAGTTTGCTTCAGACGCTTTTGTACATATACTAGCATACAGCATAACTCTTCAAAAAATTCACAACATATGTAGCGGTGGCTTTTTTTCTCTGTAAAAAATAGTTCTTTATATATTATTTTGGGATTATTGGGCACTATTTCGAATATCTAAGATAATTGGGTATTGATTTGAGCGGCCTGGTATCAGAAAAATTAACCTCTGGTCTCCATAATTTGTACGTGGACGAGTTTTAACTAGAAAGTTTTGCCTTGAGTTATGCGGGCCAACTTTTGTGTGGCACTGTGCGGTAAACATTATATTTTCTAATTAAGGTATACGCCAAACTTTGAGTGACAGTTTGTAATTCTGTAGATTTCTTACGTTTATTATGTCGTATCTTTTAAAATAAGAGATGACACTTTCAAAAAGTTGTACGTTACCAAGCTCGCAATGCTTGCTTCTGCATGGATAGAAGACAATTTAAGTTTTGGTTGTGACATGGTTGACCAGACTAAAAAACCGTAACTTAAAGGGACACTAAAACGCCCAAACGTTTTGTTTTTTATTTTTCCAGGCGATTCATAATGGTGTCAAAAGATTCCCCAATCAATATTTTGCTACAGCGTCACGTATATTTCTAATAAAAAAAATTCAACAGCTCAAAAGCGAAACCGAAACTGGACTGGAGAGGAAGAAGAAACATAGAGGAGGAGAGAGTGTGTGGAAGTCACGTGATTGTGCAACTTTGTTCTTTAATCAACGTATTTGTTGCTTTTTAGAAGCCACAAAAATGGGTACCATATTTATTTTCTATTTTTAAAATTGAGTGTGTGCCTTCGATGACCCACGACTTCGATTATATTTGGTGGTTTTGTCTAAACTATAGAAAATGGCATGGGACCACAGAGAAGAGAATGAGCGCGACTCAAAGCGGCCAGTTTTCGATCGGCGGTTTTCGGGCAGAAAGAAAGCGAATTTTGAGCCGCAAATTTTGGTCTGGGTAGTTGGGTTCTCATATGTCGTGTGCAAATAGAAACATTGGCGAGCATAAACACCCTGTCAGTGTCCCTTTAAGCGAAATTGTACCAGGACAAAATAGGTTTGACGTTTTACTTTTGTGGGGAGATATTATCTTAACTTTTTCAAAACACCAACAGCTCAAGATAGATTTTTTCTCATGGAATCAATGTATTTTGTACATGATAGATTTTTATAAAATAAAACTCCCAAGAATGGAATTGTTGATGACTGTAAAATAAAAGAGTCCTGAAGTTCCAATTTCAAATAAGAAGGTAGCGTCATTCCTTTTGACCTAAACAGTAAGAACTTTGTTTTAAATACGTTTCAAGGAAGTGTATCTGATCTAAGCCACGAGTCTGAACACGACAACCAATTTTTTGTCCTTCTGAAGAGTTCATGTATGCCTACTCCAGAAAACATTTGTATCGTCGGCATAGAGGTCGATATTTGAACTACCCTGTGAGTTTACGATGCCATTTATATATAACTAAAATAAATTAGGACCAAGAATGAATCATCGGGAGACTCCATAGCTGATGCACTGAAGTTTTCAGTTTTTATAGTTTCTTACTGTATACTGTGTGCTGAAGGTGAGATAGTTTCTTTTATTAACGTCAATGCATCTCCGCGTACTTCGCAGAACGGAAGTTTTCTTAAAAGTATATCATGTCGAACGCAGTCGAAAGGCTTTTTAAAGTCAAGGAATATGCCAAGTCTGCAGGCTTTATGTTCTATGGTCTGAAGAATTTCTTCTTTTATTCCAACAAGTGCAACTTGTGGTGATATAATCTTCTCAAAAACCGAATTGCTCACTTACTATAATCTTATTTGAATTTAGGAAACTGACGAGTCTTTTATTTATAATATGTTCAGCTGCTTTTGAGAAGACGGAAAGCACAGAAACAGATCTGTAGTTGTTTAAATCGTCGACTGTGTATAACAGACACACGAGCATGCTTCATTTTGTCCAGAAAAATGCCTGTGGTTATACTTCGTTTCAGCTTCGGTCCAAGCGCGGCCGATGTTATGAGCTGAAGGGCCAATCAAGCAGCGAAAGAGGCACAACGTCATGGCGTGCACCCTGCAGTTGATAGGACCAGTCGGTATTCGCCGTCTCTCTGTGCGTGCTCCTCCGCCGGCCAGACCTATCAAGCACAGAGAGCACGCCATGACGTTGCGCTTTTTGCGCTGTTTGATTGGCCCTTGTGCTCATAACATTGGCCGCGCTCGGACCTAAACTGAAACCAAGTATAGCATAAGGTTAAAAACATGTGCCATACACTGATTGTCTCACCGACAGCCTTAGCGATCTGGGTTTAATATCACCCGCTCCAGATGCACAATAATTTCTTAAAGATAGAATTAAGTTACAGATTTCTACTTGTCAGCTGGGTAAAGAAAGAAGAAATTTAAACATTTTGTTGTAATGAGCTGTTCGCGCGGTATTTTTACGTTGTCGTTCAAAGGAGTACCAAGAGCAACAAAGTATGCATTAAATCGGTGTGCTTTTTGTGCATTTGATGAGCCTCATTATGAAAAGGGACATTTTTGTGCCCAGACATTATTTGAAGTTATCGACTTGAGTCACTTGACTGTTTCCCATATTTTACGGGAATTTCCCATAATTTCTGAGAACTTATTCATGTAATATTAACGCTTTGCTTTTTTTAACATCAGCGTTTAGTTTATTACGTATCTTTTTAAGCATGCGAGGGTCACTCTAGTTATTCTTTTCTACAAATATTTGAAACAGCTTGTTCCGGTACCGTATTCTTTTATATATGTCGTGAAATGTCCAAGGTTCTCGCGTTTACGTTTTTCTTAATGCCTTTAAGGAGAGACATGTGTTATACGCAGGAAAGAAACGGGATAAAAAGGCATTGTAAGCCCTCTGTGGATCCCTTTCACTCAAGACACTATTCCAATCCAGACCCCAGATAAGATCCTCGGAGAGCTGAATATTTTGTTCCGAATGGTCTCTGATCAATGTTTCTTCTTTATATTTACATGCTTTTTTTACAGGGCGGAATACAGTATATTGGTAAGTAGTCACTGAGATCCCACGTCAATGCATCTGATCTCACATTTTTAACAGGAAGACTTGTTATACAAAGATTAAGGATTGCCTCAGAAGTCAAAGTAATTCTAGCAGGTCCGTGTATGGTGTTCCAGCAACCATAGGATTTAACTATTTCTTAGAAATGCAAGTAAAGTTCATTGTACGAATAAGCTTTTATGTTGAAATAACCAACTAAAACTGTTTGTTACCTCAGTTTTATGCTTCTTTCAAGTAACAACTCTAAAAAACGCAGAAAATCCCTCGCGGATCCAGATGAAGGGTGGTACAAGATAGCTAACAGGATGTCACAAAGCTGTACAGCAATGCACTCCACATTTCTGTCGAAAATTTTGTATTCATGAAGTACTTCACATGGCAGTTTTGAACAAATATAGATAGCAACACCACCACTTCTTTTTACTGAGTGGCATGCAGAAGCACAATCGTAACCAGCCAGCGCTGCCTTACCTCCTTGTTAAAATTCTCAACGTTCGTTTTCATACTGACAAAGAGGGAAAAGAAATCTTTGAAATATTTCAACGCAGATATGACCCACCTCCCTCTCCACCCTGAAAGGATTTTGAATTCGATCATAAAAATGTCATGAGCTCAATAAAACGTTGAGATCTGAGATTCGAATCTCCGGTTGAATAGTTTATGACGGTGAAGTTATCCGCAGGAAATATGGTAACATATTTTCTGCCTTGAAACACAACTGATAGTTGAACTGAAAGTCATCTTTAAACTTGGTTTAATAATAGAAGGGCAGATACAGCTGACATCTTAATCTTAATTAGGCTAATTATTATCAAATACGTTGTGAGTAATTTCGTTTTGTTAGTAGTTGGCATGGCTCGGATTGTTCTTATTCATAAACGCGAACTATGACATCGTTTTTACCTGTCAACCGTTTCTCCGCGCTTCCCCTACTCCAGCCAAGAAAATGGCTCCAAGCGTTTGAGGACTAAATATATGCGGTAGCGGAAGCACACTAAAGTTCTACGTGCAATGATATATGTGTTTTGTACACGAGCGTGTGTTTTTAGTAAATGCTTCTCTCTCACCGTGTGCTACGTGTGCCAACATTAAGATTTGAGAGCTGTTCGATCGATCTATTTTTATTCATTTACAAAGAAGAGGACACAACTAGCAAAACTGGCACTGGTGGAATCGTTAGCGTGATAGTTATTTATAAAATTAGATTGTTCATTAGGAGTCGACGCTATTAATTTCGATTTCTTAAAAGTATCGCAAAATATTCGTTCATAATATTTGCTAAAATATCTCAACATTTTTATTTTTATTTTGGATGTTTGCCCGGCGACTGCAACGTAGGGAAGGTGGTACCAATACACAAGGCTGGTGATCAAGATTGTTTTTTTAATTACCGCTCGCTAATTCGTAATTAATGAAAAATTCTAGTGTGCGTCAAATGTTGACACCTCGTACATTTGGGAAATCAAATAGTTTCTTTTTCTTGCAGTCGTTTAGTATCCATTTGATTTGAATTTTGTTTATTGCCCCGCCAACGTGAAAAGCGTTGGAAGGTTATCGGTGAATTTTATTTCTCTTTGAAATATTAAAGTGGGCTAGGATGGTTATTCTGAATGAATATAAAACGCGCAAAAAATATACGAGTGCATGGACACGAAGGCGGTACTAGCGCTATAGCTTGTTTCGTCTCCATGTCCATGGTCATGTCCCTTTTCTGTTCTTCGCACTATTTATGTTCATTATGATTAATTCGTGCATTTACTTCGACGTAAAGCGCACGGCGTGGGGAGCCCAGAGAATGGAAAGATTCAGAACATGTTTTAATCAATGCAAAAATGCGGTTTGTGCCCAAACACTAAACGTGCGTGTCGCATTCTCGACCCTCCCGAAGCGCACCACCATATTAGGTCAGAACGCGTTTTGTTTATATTTTGTGTGCGTGCGCGTGAGCGGGGAAGCTAGGGTTTTGTAATTCACTTGCCTCTCTATGCAAAACCCGCTGCGATTTGCTTTCAACGTCACCTACTAGAGTGCAGACATGCTGGTATCTTTTCTATCGCAGAAAAATGCGAAAATCACGTAAGCTGTCACAGTTTTTTTTTTTTAATTATTGTGCACGTACCTTTTTATTGGAGAATATTTCAACACAAATAATGCTAAAATTTTGGAAAGCGGAAACACACTTTGTATTTCTCTGGTCTCCTTCATCTTCTTTCATCTCTATCTCTCTATTTCACTTTTTCAATTCCTGACTTGCTTACACTCCCCTACACTACTCTATTTTATCACGTAAGCTTCGTTTTGTTTCACACTGACTAAAACAATTACGGACGAAGGTTAACCTCATCGCATATACCGTGCGGAGCACAAGCTCGTCTGCTTCTTGCGGTGACGTCAGAATGGACAACTCTGATTGGAGGGATAGTGGGTAGAGCTCAATGCAAGCTGCCTCCAGGTCTACCCACCATATAGACCGACACGCGGGCTTGACGTCACGGAGCTGCGGCGGCGCTGCGATCGCGCCGGAGCCGGGGGGTGTGGGCAAAAGCGCACTCGTTTCGCATGGGCGTCATAGCATTTCAGCCTGCCGCGAAGCTGTGTTGCCGTTAATTGCACCGAAATGTACAAGAAAAACAGCGGAGTGAGTTTCCCCAAGTTCCCGGCAGACTCTGAAAGGCATAGAAGGTGGATAATATCCGTGGATCGAAAAGAATGGTCGCCTCGCGCGAACGACCGTTTGTACGGCAAACATTTTCTTAAAGCCAAGTGCGGCTTCCATTCCAATCTCCGTCCCGAGGCTTGCTTATATGCAGGGAAACCGTTGTCTTATCGAGACCACCCGGATTTTGTTCCCATGGTGTGCGCGCACGAAGCATCGGCCAAGCGCTCGTCGGAGGCTCGCTACGCCCGTGCTACCCAGCAGAATGGGATCGGCGACAGAACGGCACTGTTGTAGGCGTTACCGAAAAAAAGTAACGAAATGCGTTACTGGTTACTTGCAAATAAAAGGTACGCGTGACTGAGCCACGTTACCTAAAAATAAAAGGAACGCGTTACCGCTACCGATAAAAAGTAACGCACGTTACTTCAGCGTTACTTTTTTTTAAATTATGATTTAACACATTTTACGGTTTTGACGCTACAGGTCATATATCAAGAAACATTATGTTCATGCAGAAACTGAACATAATTACTTTATCTCTTTTTACGGTTTCACCTAAATACTTACGAGAAAAAACGCAAAGAAAAACATGGCTTGACGCCTAAAACACGGAAAAAAAATTGAAGTGTAATTTCTTTAAGACTTGGGAAGTAGTAACGAGTAACGTAACTACGTTACTTGAAATAGTAATGTAAGTACGTTACCAGTTACTGTGTCAAAAACGTAACGAGTAGGTTCCTACGTTACTGAAAAAAGTAACGCGTTACCAACAACGCCGTTACTTGTAACCTGTTACCGCCAAGACTGCAGAACGGACAAAGCGTTACTCTTTGTCATGCCTTGTGGTCATGAGGGTAGAAAAAATATCCTACCTTGACTTGAAGACTCTGTGTGTATTTAATCAATTAATGAATACACACACTTCCGCAGACCCACAGTCTGCTGATCCCGCCGGCAGTGCGGAAACCGAGTCGAAGAAATCGTAGGCCTCGATAGACTTGTATGCCTGCACCGTGTCGGCCATGAACTGGCTTGGCGAACAAACTAAATAAACGCCAACGTGAGCCGTCGACTTCGGTGGCAACAACTTCACGTCGGAAGTCCAGTAGGCCTTATTTACGGCGTACGGATCCTCGTAGGCAACGCCGCCCACGCACAGTTTGTTTCGATACCGCTGCCGTTCAGGCTCGGGCAGCGAGCTCAAATAGTCGGGCATAGCATACGACACACGTTGACAAGTAATGCGACGCACGAACAAAGATACAAGCGTCCCTACAACGTCAACAACGAGCGCACGCCATAGAACGCAATGGCGAAAACACGGAGAGCCGTGCTGCTTTTGCCCACATAGCTACCGCGCATGCGCGGCCTTCCGGCAGTGTTGGTAAACAGAGTCGCTCCGCGTGTCGGTCTATACTTCTAATCATATCCGACCAAAACTCGGCGTTCTGACGTTACCGCAGTCTTCCGCTCTAGAAGCAGACGAACTTGCCCTCCGCACTGTAACGCAGGGCGCGCCAAGTTCCGAGCATCTCATTATCTCTCCGCAGCCAATGGCATTGCGACATTAGCCGACAAGATCGCCTAAGAGCCAACCATGAGGAGGCAAGAACGCATCAACGTAATAAGCCACGCCTCGCGTTTCTTAAACTGCCGGTGACCTACAAACACACGTTTCTTCTCTGATTGGCTGGAGAACTCACGTCGACCACGACTCCTGGCAGGTCGTAGTTCTGCGCCGGTGGCCTGTCCCTGGGAATGTAGCGGTAGAACTCGGTGTCGTTCTTGTACCACTTGACCGAGTACAGCTCGTCCGACTCCAGGTCGTAGGTGCAGTTGAGCCACATGCTGCGCCCCTGGATCACGGCAGACGGCACCTTCATCTCCAGCAGCCGCAGGCAGCTCGTTTCTGAAGCGGAGGAAACGACAAACCCGTCCCGAGAAATGAGGAGTGCTTAGAAATCGGAGAGCCTTAACAAGTGTTGCGCCTCTGGGATGCTAGAGCTACCACCAGTGTTAGAAGGCTCAGAGTCTGCACCGCAATGTACTGAGAACACTGGTACACCACCCGCTACGCCCTATAGATCTCCCGGGACTGTGCTATTCGCCATCTTTGGTAACGGAAATATATAGGCTCAAAAACGGCCTCATTGTCGGTGCGTGCCATTTGCTATAAGTTGCAAAACAATATTTATATATATATACTCACACACATGTCAACCCCGTACCTCATGCGTATCGGAACGTTTTTGCGTGTATTCAGATCACGCCTCAGCCAAATCACAGACACTGTTTAAGGTGACTTTTCTTTCTTGTTTAAAGGTCCTGCCACGTTTATCGTGCAAACACCATTAGCGGACATGTCCTACACATGCATGAAACAAACATGTCTGGAACATGCTTAAAGGGACACTGACACCCCCAAAACATTTGTTTTATATTTGGCCAGGCGATTCATTATCGTGTCGGAAAACTGCCAAATTAATATTTTGCCTCAGAGTCACATATATTTATAATAAAGAAAAGAAAAACGCAACTGCTCGAAATCGAAACCGAAACTGTACTGGGGAGGAAAAAGAAATATGGAGGAGGAGAAAGTTACCGAAAATCACGGGGCAGTGCAACTTATTATTTTTTTTTCAATGGACGTATTTGCAGCTTTTTAGAAGCTACAAAAAATTGGTGTCATATTTTTTTTCTATTTTTAATACGAAGTGTTGCCTTTGATGGCCCACGACTTCGATTGCCTTTGCTGTTTGTGTCGAAACCATAAAAAAACGGCACTTGACCACGGAGAAGAGAGTGAGCGCGACTCAAGGCGGCAAGCTCTCGATCGGCGGTTTTCGTGCGAAAAGAAGACGAATTTCGAGCCCCAAATTGTGTTCTGAGCAGTTAGGCTCTCATATGACATGTACAAATAAAAACCTTGGCGAGCAGGAATACCCTGTTAGTGTCCCTGAGAGGACAGGGTATTTATGCTCGCCAAGGTTTCCCGTGTGAACAGATTTCCCATAGTAATCTCTTATTTGAAAGTGGAAACAAATTAGATGTTTACAAATACCTGTAATGCGAAATTAGAGCGCAGTTTTTGAAAAGGAGGAGGGGAGGGTATGGAGTGGAGGGTATGCTCCTTCTCCTCATCCATATCCTCCCCTCCTCCCGCTGTTTCCCGCTAAATTTTGCTGAAAAATTGACGCCGTGTGACCTCAGCACCATTTTAGTTCCCTTGCTAAATTTAGCGGGGAAAATGACGTCACATGACTTGGTGTGAAGTCACCTATGTACAAATTCAGTTTCTTCTCTATAACTAGCGGGAGAATCAAAGTCACGTGGCCTCAACAGCAATTCAATTCCCCGCTAAATTTAGCGGGGAATCGAATTGGTGTTGAGGTCACGGAACGTCAATTTTCCCGCTAAATATATCTCGGTTACGCCGAGGGCAACGCCGCCGCAGCGAAACACGGAAACGGGCGCCTAAGAGCTGCTTTCTAAAAAAAAATAAAAACTATACTGAAGGCACCTTGGTCCCATCTTCTTTTACAGCGCAGCTCTTAGGCGCCCGTTTGCGCGTTGAGCGGCGTCGCCGTCGCTGTCGGCGTAACCGTGCGTTGCATAATGGTTAGTTCCCCACAATGACGTCCTACGTGACGTCACTTGAATAAATGTGACGCTACGTGACCTCACGTGTGACGTCACGTGAAAGAATATGACGTTATACGTGAAAATTAACAGAAATATTTTCCCGCTAACTTTAGCGGAAAAATTTCCCCGCTAAATTTCGCGGAAAAATTCACCGCTAAATTTAGCAGAAAAAGTTCCCCGATACATTTAGCGAAACAAGTTTTTTGATAAATGTAGCGGGGAATTTTTTCCGCGAAAAGGGAAGAAGGGAGAAAGCACGAGGGGAGGAGGGGAAAGAGAGGGAGAGGAGAAGGGCCATACCCTCCTCTGCTCCTTCTCAAAAGCTTCGCTCTAATACGGACTTACAGAGAATTGTAAACGTCTTTCATTTTTTTTTTGGTAATAATTTGACCTTCGCTATTAAAAGCGGAAATTCACAAATTATTCTCGTTAAACAATTGTATTTCGCCAACGTTTATCTCAGTCCCATAAATCAAAACATCTGAAAGATTAATCGGTTTATCTGGTTTAGAGTTACGCTATTCGTAACTTTGCCGTATATATAGAGCCTGTGCATCGAACTCCAGACACTGCTACATACAAAGAAGGTGGATGGAAAAGCGCAAGAAACAAAAAAGGCAGCGATCTGTCTGCTGTATTAAGATTTATTTACTAGAAACAGCGAAGAAACTGCGTGCCGGTGCCAACGACAACCTACACGAGCCGTTCAAAAATATACGAGGTCTTACTAAATCGATAGGTTGCGGTATCCGTCAAAGCAGAACGCGCTGTCCTTCGCTTTCCTCGCTATATTTTTAGAAGTTATTTTGCGCATTGAATCTCCACCAAGGCACCAGACTAAACTGTAGCATGGCAGAGTAAAAACTTCAGCGTTTATGGAGCTCTTGAAGGACGTTTATGAAGCTCGTGAAGCTATTCTCGTAAAATAACACCAAAGCCTTCAGTGCTGAATAATATTACGTGCCCAGTCTGGACCAGACTGGTCAAACCCACTTTTAAGTAAATTGCAGAAATGGAGTTCGATGGATGTAATGCTGTTATGTTTCATAAAAACGCTGCCGAGACGGCACACTTGCATGGCTTTTGAGAAAGAAATTGAAACATTTGCCCTAATGAAAAGTTGCCAACTGAAAGTAATGGTTTTGTATGAATCCCTTTACAATCATGTATATCTTACGTTCAGGCGAGGATACGCCTTTATAGGCTAAGAGCAAGAAATAAAGTTCGATAGATGTCATGCTGTAATGTTTCATAGAAACGCTGCCGAGACGGCGCACTTGCATGGCTTTTGTGAATGGAATCGAAACATTTGCCGCAATGAAAAGTTACCAACTGAAAGAAATGGTTCTGTATGAATCCCTTTTGAATCACGCTTTTCTTAAGTTCATGCGAAGAGACGTCCTTATAGGCTTATAATGTATTTAGCAAAAATATGAAGAAGATAATAGTCATTTACTGAGATTTTTTTTATTATTATTTTTGCTTCCAAAGATACATTTCCTTCAGTCCACTGCTACTCAAGAAAGTAGGGCGAGGGAAAGGAAGGCTGGGGAGGGAGAAGCAGACGGAACGCTGGAGAGGAGAGGGGAAACCTCCTCCTTTTCTCCCCAGCGTTCCGTCTGCTTTCTCCTCCCCGGCCTTCCTTTTCCTCGCTCTACCTCCTCGAGTTGCAACGGACTATAGTAAACCATCAGCGTTAGGTAAAAAAAAAAAAAAAAAAAAAAAAAAAACTCAAACTAATTATAATGTTTTTTTTCCTTATACTTTTGATTGTTAGAAATTCATCCTCGTATATTTTCAGAAAATGAATGCCTTGGCTGTAGCCGCCTCTATGGGGTAAGTAACAAAGCAGTGTTTGCGTACATATTTTAATCGAGGGATGTAAGGTCGATTGATCGACTCTCCATTCGAGGCTCAAACGGTGTGCATTCATTCCCCGCCCATCTTTTTCACATTTTCGCCGCCAGGTGGCGGAAGTTTTCGCTGCACATTTCGAGATGGACTCTTTCCAAAAAGTGCGCACCCTCTAGAGTAGTTGCTGCGTCAATAATCCTAGTCGGCCCTTGTTTTGGGCGCATAGCGCTGTCTCCAGCGCATATGCACTGGAGACAGCGCTTGCGTCGGCATTCGGCGTGAACTCCACTCAGCTGGTAGCGAAGAACGTGTGCTGCGTCGGCATTCGGTGAGGACTCGGACCCAATCGGACGCTTCGTGTCCTAAGAATGGCGACCGCCACTATTGCTTGATGGGGTTTTGTAAAGGGTCTGCTAAGCTTTTCGCTTCTACAAGCGACGTCTTTGGGGCTGGGTGGTGTTGCCACCTCTGAAACTGCGAATACTTAGTTATTTATTTAAAAAACTATGCCCGACCGAGCCCATGTGTACAGTAATGTCAGTTGTCAGACGTGTAAAAAAAAAAATTAATATGGGTATTAACTTTACCCGTCCGGGACTTTGAAAGGTCCTTAACGAGTAGTTTTAAATCGTCTTAACCTACCGAAGTCGCTTTAAGTAATATAGATTATCTTCAATGCCTTCGACAACAAGTGTCTCTATTACTAATTAATCAATTTGACAGATGTCAAGCTCTCTGTCTAGGCAGAGTGACAGCTTTCTATAGAAAGGTTGCAAGTTTTTTGCAAGTTTGGTCACATTAGTTATACATAGATATCAATGCAGTATAGAGTGATATCGAAAGAGTAAAAAACGCATAGGTTCATAACCTGGGTCAGCTTGCTGAAATCAGCGTCTTAGCTTGGACCACTGATATTTACTAGATCCCCCCCCCCCCTCCCCCCTCTTGATCGCTTTAGCGAAAGCGCGGCTACCGGAAGTTTTGAATCGGCTATCTTAGGGCACTATAAATGTTAGCCGGGTGAAGTGTTGTAGAGGCTATAGGCGACGGCGTGTTGGAAGACACGTTTTCTGCCCATTCGTCGTCATATACGCCGAAACGGTTTTCCACTTAGAAAAGACCTTGTGTAAACGGTCGTAGATGCCTTTGAGAACATCAAGAAACGTTTACGAAAGCGCAGCACCGCGGGAAAAAGGCACAACTCGCCGAACGCAAGTCTCTACCGGCGCGATCGAAGGTCATGCCCTGACAGGCTGAAGTGCCTCGGCTGTGTGCATTCTTCGCACTTCGACACCGATCAAGAATCGACGCCGTGAGTTTTTGTTAACCCCTCTGGAAAGATCTCGAGTGCCTACAACAACGAACAGCTGAGGCAGCGCGGATAAAAATCTAGTAGAAAAATGCAATATTTTA